GCCAATTGTATCTACAACTCTCAATGCAACATACAATGAGTTTTTCTATAAATTCACTTCATTTATAATTCCAACATTTCTAATCAGTAGCATTTGAGAACATCATTTATCAGAACCAGTGCATTGGACAGTTCATACTCGAAATCATCCATAATTAAGATGCATATATCATATAAAATATTTTGGGCAGTTCATGCACTAAAATCATTTTAGAGAATTCATTCAAATATCTTTTCAGAAAATATCATATAAAAACTCATTGGTTAATTCATATAAAAAAATAAATCATAAATCATTTCGGTAATCATTTTAAAAATATTTCATAATTTGATTCAAACTTTTTTTTAAAAAAAAATAGATCATTGAGGTTGACGTATCACAAGTCTTCCTCAATTAGTATAAGTAAATAAATAAATGCACTCACCTTAATTCCCTCACTATTAAACCTTTTACGACGATGTTCTTTTTAAATCACGTACTTGATTCTTCTCTTTTGATTTGATTTCTATCACAAGATTTATCACAGTCTAGATAAAATCATACATAACACAATTATTCAAAACATATGTTAGTATTGTACTATCATAATCCAAATCCAATAATAAAATCCATAATTAAAATACTCGATATATATTCGATGTAATTTCACTTCACCATTTGATAACAACTTCAACATTTCCAACATGACACTTCAATACTATTGAATATTCATAAACTTTACAATTTAGTCACCATTTATGAATTCTTTTAGAATTCATACTAGTTTTTCCAATAAATTCAAAATGGCCATTCACCATTTAATTCAATCCAAACTTAATACCAAATTTTCCAGTATTAAACTAATATATTCAATCTAATACAATCAAATTTGCAACTTTTCATTTAACCCCCAAAATTTCCAATCCTTTTAAATAAAACACTACACTTAACCAAATTTGTAATTTGGTCCCAAATCATCATTCTAACTTCAAATTTCAGCACCCAAATATAAATTTCCAGCATTTTAATACTACACTTAATCTAATACTTTAACATTTAAAAACTTGCAATTACATCCCCAACTTTCTAGCATAATTCGAATTAGGCACCAACTTTTTAAAATTCTTACAATTTGATCCAAAACAGCATTCTAACTTGAAAATCAGCATTCAATTTAATAATTTCCAGCATTGTACATCCATATTTGAGCATTTATACTTCAAGTCCCATAATTTCCAAAACTTGCAAAATAGTCCCTTTACAATCATAATGTTCCAAATTGATCCAAATCAACTTCCAAAGTAAGTAGAATTCATCTAATATCAATTATATACCATAGGAAATTTTTTAATATTTTTCCCTAATTTAATAGCCTTGGTCGAATCTATCAAGTATACTAGGGCATAGTTTTTTTTATTCAATTTCAAGCATGAATTCAACCTCTTATGATTAAATTCATGCTATTTCAACCATCATAACACCAAATTCAATACAAAATCAATCAATTCTTCACAAACCCTAGCTTGGTTAAATTTAATATATACTTTTCTAGATGATTTTAATCATCACCCATGCTTGAAAATTAATCTACAACACTAATAACATAAAAATCAACCTTTAAATCACCAAAATCCAACATGTTCTTCATGAAACCTAATCATGAATGTCATCATCCAAGCATGTTTTCCATGAAATAATTATACCAAATGATAGAGAATTTCAAGTAGAGTAATTCTCTATATAATAACTTAACCCGAAAATAAACCATGAAAACTTAAAAATGAAACTAAAAAGCTTTCCTTACCTAGAAATGGTGTACAAGGCTTGGAGGATGAAGAAGAAAGTAATTTCTTGATTTTTCCACATTTAATTATCACAACATGTGGCTTTATAAAAAATTAAATGAAATTAAAATTCATTTAAATCCAATTTACCATTTTGACATTAATGAAACTTGATAATTTCAACCATGCCATTGCAAAATATTCCAATTTAATATTCAAAGTAAAATATGAACAAAAAAATTTGAATTTTCACCTTTACCCATGAAATTTTCTAAAATTGCAATTCGGTCACTAAAATTCACAATTTTAGCTTAACATGGAAAATGAACCTTAATTCCATTGATCCATGTTAAATTTCACTGTTATAAATTATGGAAATAATATTTTCAACCTTTTTCCATAATCCTTCAAATTTTCGTGAAATTTTGGTATGATCTGGTTATCTGAATTCTTATGACTTTACTACTTTATAGCTTTTAATACAAGTCCTGAATCAAAATTCCGATTCCCACAAAAAAAACATCAATTTTGTAATAAACTATTTATTTACAGGCCAAAATATAAAATTTTTAAAAATTACATTTTTGGTCTCTAAGCTTTTCTAAATTTATACTTTGATCACTAAACTTTCAAAAGTTATATTTTGGTCACTAACCAAAAATTTGAGGTATTAAAAAACATATAAAAAGGTTAAATTAAAATTTTTCCCTAAATTACTTAAATTTATAAAATGGTTCCTAATTAGTATTTTGTATACAGTTCAATGGGTTAAAATAAAAATTAAACCCATTTATTAACTGTCATGTCATCAAACTAACGGAAGTCAACGTTTCAATGATCACATCTTAAATAAAACAAAACGAAAGTTTTTATAAATTATATTTTTTGAATCGAATGACCATATGTTTATAAAACTGAAACAAAAATGGTGAATTCTGCAGTTTACCCTTTATATTTTGATACGTATTCGGTGGGAAGCTGTTTAAGGAGGCAAAACAAAGGACCCCCATTCAAGTTCCTAGCCCCTTTACTCTATGCCCCTCTTCTCCCTTTAAGTCTAAGACTCATTTTCACATTTTGGGTAATTTTGATCTCTGGGTTTCGTTTTTCAGATGTTATTCTTATATGGGTTTTGTTTTTGTTTTTTTTTTTCCCCAGTTCGAGTTTCTTTGAGGAAGAATCCGGTTTTAAGGGACCGGCTGTTTTTACTATTGTGTTGGCTGGGGCTTTTGTCCATGGTTCTTATCTAGTGTATCCTTATTCAATCAATCTTGTTTTAGTTACTATACCTGATTGTTGATTCTCTGTTCTTTTCTCTCTGAATTATTCATGCTTAAATTATTGAGCAGTGTGCTGCTGCAAATTCTTTTATGTGCTCATTGTCTTTGTATAAATTGGAGATTCTTTTTCCATTTTTCTCTGATCTGAATTTAGTATGATAACACTCTACACTTAATATTCTATCCGGTTTTGATAGTTAACTAGTATTGAGTTCTATGATGGAATTTGTATTGGCTGAATTGGTTATTGATGCAAGTCATATAACACAGTAGCATTTGTGAACGTTAATGTATTGCTAAATGTTGCATCTGCACGTTTGGCCGAATTCTAGGTGCATGTATCATCCAACTTTAAAAGGTAGGCTTCGACATATCTTTCAATGGGTTCCACATGCAACTTATTTTGCAATTAGACGTTCACTTGTTTTCGATCACCCGTGTCTGCACAATGCATGATGCAGGTGTTGCCTTGAGAGCTTGATTCAGTTGATTGTACATGTAAGCAAGATTGTGTTTTATTTGGATTCTTTTCGCATTTGAATAATACGTTTGGTGAGGAAAAAAAAGGGAAAGAATTAAAACCATGTGGTGCGTTGGTTTCTGCATTGCTATAGGCTGAAAAATGGTTTATGTGAACTCTAATTCTCGGCATTGATTCTATTTTTTGATGGACCCAACCTTTTCAATTGATTGCTTTTGGTTATATTAGGGAATCATGTTTGTGGCCGAGTCTATAGGGGTTAGATGTACAGGTAAGAGGTGTTAAAAGATTATATTTTCTCACTAGTACTAATTCAAATAACGAGTAATCTAAATGGTAATATTCATACCTTATGTTTGTGCCGTCAGCTAATATCATACTCTATAATCAAATAAAGTATAAGCTATTTCTAACTTATGAGATCTAATGTGACTTCACTAATGTCTCCTCCTTACAAAGCAATTCAATTTTGTAGCTTGTTTTTAACAGTCATGTTACAACCCACTATTTTGTATCACTTTAAGGTGCAAACTTTATAATACCATTTCCAAAACCATTGCCTTTACAGTAGTGTGGTCAATTGTTCCTACTTATTTATATGATTATATCAGGCATTTTCTGCAACACCTTAGTCCTCCAAGAAAAAGAAAAGGTTTGGTAGTATTACGCTTACTTGATGTAATTTTGTTTCAAGGGAATGTTCCTTTTCCTTTGCACTTGAACAACAAACAAACAGAGTAAAATGCTATTACATTTATGAATATGTGAGGTCTGTATATCACGGAGACATGCATTGAGAAAATTAATAGAATTGGTTAGTTTATCCAAGAAAGTTAAACGACTCTCACAGTTGTTTAGCGTATGTTGTTCGAACTTTTCTGGAGCTATGTTTCTGACATGAGTCGCAGCCTCATTTTGCATATTGCTAGTTGTTTGCTGCACATTTTGTTCATGTACAACCTCTTCACTCTGCCTTCTGTTAAAATTGTATACTCACATCACATGCACCGAAGTTTAGATATCGTCTTTCTGTTATACTCCTAGTCCTCTGCCTCTTTCCCTTTCCTGCTTTATCTTCCTTATCACATTTTCAGGGGGGATCTATATGATGCTGAGAGCAAGTGAAGATGCCGAGAATTTGGCTTGAGGAACTTATTTTTATCCCTTCAATAATTATTCTTCTTTTATATGATGCTGAGAGCAAGTGAAGATGCCGAGAATTTGGCTTGAGGAACTTATTTTGGTCCCTTCAATAATTCTTCTTTTATGTCTTAGAACAAGTTGAATATTGTATTCTTCTCATTGCCTTTACTGAGGAATGATAATTGTATCTTGCATTGGTTCACGTCAACATGAAGCATTTTTGGTAAAAGCGTAGGCCAAAAGTGTCGGGTTGAAACGCACAAGCTTCCAAATGGCAAGAAGCAGACGCGAAAGAGCAAAACAATAACTCCCTTTCTTAAAAATTGAATACAAAACATTGAATATTTACCAATGAAAAAAAATCTCATCATCAATCAATCGTTTTTTTTTATAAACACTCCAAGACCAAAAAAACAGCTTTGACTATGACAGATTAGCAGATAAAACATGCATCTTTAATCTTCCCTTCCGTATCAAACCCTGCATGAAGATTGCAGAAGCAAAAACAAAAGAGCATTCAGTACTGGGATTTAGGAAATACGAATAAATTATTTACCGGTAAAGAAGATGAAATTACTGTTGGAATTCAATGTTGATGGAGTCGACAGCTTTGTTGGTGATTCCACCGAAAGCCGTCCTGGAAAGCACAATGGTGGTGGATTGAGCTGAAGACGGAGAGAGTGCCGTCGGAGCATAATCGACAATTTTGACCTGGATCGTCTGGTCGGGAACACAAGTGCCAGGCTGCGAAGCACTTATGCACCGAACCCGGTATTGTCTCCCGCACGATGCTCCATTGTCCCATATCCCGTCTCCGGCCGCCGCGAACAAATTGGTCGATGGGAACTCCGTTTGATCGTCGCCGAAGCACGTCGTTGCTGCAACCGCAATACATAAACAAACAACAACCCACCCATTAATCAGCAAACGAAATCAAGAAAAACAGAGAGATTTGAAGTTCAGGGTTTGGTACTGACGTAAATATGGAGGGCTGTAGTGGGCAGCGGTGCCGACATCGCCATGGGATAGCTGGAAAAACTGGGAAACGAAGAGAAAACACCATAGAAGATGAAGAAGTGGTAGTTTCTTAATCTGCATATTTGAAAAACTAGAACTTAAAGAGAGGAGAGGGTAATGGAAATAGAAAAAGATCGGATTGGTTTCAACTTAGAGATATAAATTTAATAAAAATTTGGTTGGGAATTTGGAATCTGTTCTGTCAACTGAGATAATAATAATAATAATAATAATAAAAAATGGCAAGTTGTTAGCGGTTGGTGTTGCCTGACCTATACGATGGGCGTGAATGGTCAATCAGTGCCAACTCATGACGCGGAATATGTATTAAATTCAAAAGAAGAATCAAACTCCTACAAATCAACAAATACAATTAAAGCATCATCCCAAAAAAAAAAAAAAAACCCAAAATCGAAACCCCATGCTATACACGTGTGGTGGGAGATTCAATTTGAATTAGGATAAATTACGCGAGTAATTATCCAACTATAGTCCCTTTCATTTTTATCACTACTTTTAAATTTTTATCAATCGGTTAACGAAAGTATTGATTTGGTAATTAATAAAATTAAAATAATTATATATTTGATCCTCTATATTTATATATTCAATCAATTTAGTCATAATATTAATGACACGGGTTACTACCAGATTAAAATATATTTTATTAATTTTAATTATTTTATTTTGTATCCACCACCTTAATTCATCAATAAAAGGCTTCATAATAATACATGCTTTCAAAGGGATCGAACAACTAACTTAATGCTCTCTAAAGCGAGCCTCAACCACTAGGCTAAGCTCCTCAATTTGTAAATGATTACAACATGCTATAAAAGAGTTTAAAATTGAGATTTTAAGGAGTGACAACACTTTGCCATTAAACTAAAACCTGTATTCAATTAAAATTTAAATATTTATATATATATAACTATTAAATTGAGTTTTTTTTAAAAAAGTAAAATTTAGATTTTTATATTTTTAAGCTATATTTATTTTTATATAATTTCTTTACATATAATCATTAAATTGATTTTTCAATACAATTAATAATTTTAATTTTATTTAATGATTATATTTAAAGAAATTATATATAAAAAGATGATCAATTATGTTAAAAAAATTAAATTTATATTTAATTATATAAAAATAAATATAGCTTAAAATATGAATTTGGTGAAATTAATTTTTAAATTTTAAATTTATTTCAAAAATATTAAATTTATTTTTATACATATTCAATTTAATTTTAAAATATTAAATTTATTATTATTTTAAATCTCATATTAACTGTATTTTAAAATATATATGAAATGTATATATTTATAAATTGTAATATGTTGTGAAATATGAACCAAAATTTCGTGTTGGTCCAATGATTTTCAGCTAAACGCGATATATTGAATGTTGAACGAAGTGTGGCACTCAGCCTAGTGGTTCAAACGTTGCTTGGGCATGCAGTGAGTCATTGGTTTGATTCTCCTTCAAAGCATAATATGCTTTAAATTGTTTGGCTTACTAAGGTGGTGGCATATCACCACCTAATTGTATTTAATTAAATAAATAGATAGAATATATAAATATGGAGGATCAAATATGTAATTATACAAATTTTATTAATTGTTACATCAACCTTTTTGTTAAATATTAACGACTAGTGGTCTGATTGAATACATTTAAATAATTGAGTGATCTAATTGCTAAAAATTTAAAAATAATGGTCAAAATAAAAAAAACTTATAATTGAATAGGTTGAAAAGGAGCTATAGTTGGATAGTTAATGATGTAGTTTACCTTTCATTTATTTATCCCAAAAACTTTCACCAGTACAACTTTCCGAATATAACTAAAAATCTCATCCCCATTTCGAAATGAATTCCTAAAGCACCTTCTATTCCGCTATTCTCAAATAAAGTATATATAAGCATTCTACGCAACACTCAAGTCCCAATACCTACATATAAAATTTTCATTTTGTAAGTAAAATAGAGATCTAATTAAAAAAATAAAAAGATAAATATTATTGTAATTATCCTTAATATATAAAGGATAATCATATTATTTTTCTAAATCAAGTCTGATATTTTCACCATAAATTCAAACCCAAACTTATTTTTTTATAATAAAAACGACCTTCCAAATTAGAGTCAGAACTCATTGAATTCATATCTCGTACCTATTCCTACACTCAAAAAATAGTAAACTAAATCTTAAGTTTAGATTGAACCATGGAACAAAATTCAGGACCCAAAAATGAAGATAAAAGAGACACAAAATTTACGTGGAAAACCCCTAAATAATATAGGGTAAAAATCACGGGCAACGGTAGAAGAATTTCACTATGAGAAAATATGAATTACAACTTCTCTCGATCTACCAAGGAGAAAACAATATAATTCTCTGTTGATAAAAATGAGAAAACAACTCTCAAGAAAACTCTCTAAATTATCTAGTATTGGGAGAAAGCTAGAATGACTTGTGATGATTTTGAAGCTAAATGAGCTAGGGTATTTATAGTTGAAGCTTAAGGACTAATCTTATAAATACCCTAAAAATACAATGACTAAATTATGATTTTACCATTGTCCAAATTCAACTAAAAACCAAGCAAACTTTTGGTGCATTAATTTTGTTTGACTATTTATGCCAACATGCTTGGCACTTTCGGTGATGCATGCATTTTCAACAATCTCCCACTTGAAGATTTGATTAGAACAATCATATCTTCACACCATTCTTTCTACCTTGTACCTTCATGTTTCTTACATCTCTGACAGGCCACAAGAGGATCGACACCAAGTAAATTTATCAGCGTTGATCGCATTCGTCATAAAATCTGTTATGTTGTCTTTGGTATGGATTTTCTACATATCTATCGTCTCTTCTTCCACCTTTTCATGAATGAAATGGTACTGAAATCATATGTGCTTTTTCCTTGAATGAAATGTTTGATTCCTTGCTAGATGCAAGGCGCTTTGACTGTCACAAAACAGAGAGACATACTCTTGATTGTGCCTAAGGTCCTCCAATAGCATATTCAACCAAATTGTTTCTTTACTGGCTTGTGTAGCTGCTACATATTCTGCTTCTGTTGTTGAAGTAGCCACAACTGACTACAATTTTGAAACCCAGCTTACAGCTCCATCAGTAATTTTGAACACATATCCTATCATAGATTTGCCTTTATCCAAATCCCATGCATAGTCAGAATCTACATACCCATTGATTAGTAAGTTTGATCCTCCGTAACATAATGCAACATTTGAGGTCCCTTTGATGTATCTCAGGATCCTCTTTACTGCATTCCAATACTCTTTTCCTGGATTCTCCATGTACCGACTAACCACTCCCATTGCTTGTGCAATGTCTGGTATTGTGCATATCATAACTAACATTAAACTTCCCACTGCTGCTGCATACGGTACTCGAGACATCTCCATTCTCTCTTCTTCACTGCTAGGACTCATACTGGAGGATAATTTGAAGTTAATAGGAAGAGGGGTAGAAATTGGCTTACAATCTTGCATGTTGAATTGTGACAAGATCTTCTTCAATAATTCTTTTGTGAAAGCCAAATCTTCCTATTACTTTTGTCTCGGTGAATTTGCATCCCTAGAATCTTGTTTGCTTATCCCAAGTCCTTCATTTAAAATTCCCTAGCCAGTTGTGCCTTTAATTCTTCAATATGATCTTTGTTGGGTCCTACAACCAACATGTCATCCACATACAATAGAAATATAACAAAATCGTTATCACCAGACCTCTTAAAATAAGCACAAGGGTCTGCATTAAGTCTGTTGTATCCAAGGCACATAATAAAGGAATCAAATCTCTTATACCAATACCTCGGTGCCTACTTTAGACCATACAGAGATTTGTTCAACCTGCAAACCAAGTTCTTCTTTTCTTTTTCTTCAAAACCTTCAAGCTGGAGCATGTAAATCTATTCTTCAAGATTTCCATGAAGAAAAGTTGTTTTAACATCTAGCTGCTCTAGATGTAAGTTCAATGTAGCACACATTGCCAAGACTAATCGAATTGTTGTTAGTCGAACCACAGGAGAAAAAATTTCATTGAAATAAATACCTTCTTTTTGAGCATATCCTTTGACCACCAGTCTTGCGCGATACCTCTCCACTTGATCGTCACCATTTCGCTTGATTTTGAAGACGCATTTGTTATCAATTGGCTTCCTTCCTTGTGGTAGTGGCACAAGGTCTCATGTATTATTTTTATGAAGGGCTTCAATTTCCTCTTGCATCGTCATCATCCATAGTGAAGCATCTGAGTTGTTTATTGCCTCCTGGTATGTTGATGGCTCACCGTCCTCTATTAAAAGGCAGTATGCAATATTTCCTTCTATAACATAATCTGAGTGCCAATTGGGACGTCTTCTCACACGATCTGATTGACAAGTTGTTGGAACTTCATAACTCTCTGGTTCTTATTCATCATGTGCTGGTTCTACTTCAGAATAATCTCCTTGTTCAATCTCATTTTCCACATGTATCTGTGTAGTCTCTGACTTTTCAGCGCTATCATCTTCTTTTTTATTTGTAGTTTATCTTCTACACAGATAATATCCCTGCTAATGATCACTTTGCGGACAGTGGGATCCCACAAACGATACCCCTTTACACCATCAGCATACCCCAAGAATTTGCATTTCCTGGATTTTGGATCCAGCTTTGAAATTTCTTGGGAGTTGTACATCACGTACACAATACTTCCAAATACATGGAGGTTTGAATAATCAGCTGGTTTACCAGTCCACATCTCCATTGGTGTCTTCATCTCTATTGCAGTTGATAGAGCTCGATTCACCAAATAACATGCAGTATTAACTGCTTCTGCCCAGAATGATTTTTCTAGGCCTGCATCTCTCAACATTGCTCTTGTTCTTTTTAACAAGGTTTTGTTTATCCGCTCTACCACTCCATTTTGTTGAGGAGTGTTCACCACTGTGAATTGTCTTTTGATGCATTCTTTCTTGCAAAATTCATCAAATTCTTCGCTTGTGTATTCTCCTCCATTATCTGTTCTGAAACACTTGATCTTATTTCCAGAATCAAGTTCCACCCGCCCTTTGAAGTTTTTAAAAGTTGAAAACATATATGACTTCTTCTT